AGTTAAGGTGATGAGTAGACTGAAGTTGGGCTCAGGTGGTTGTGCTGTGGGATGCGTTTCCCATACATTTATTTATTTGTGGCGCTCGTCACAATATCAAAACAATATCAAAACCTTTCCAAAAGGCTTAGTTGAATAAACAAGCACGCTACTGCACGTTTAAAAATCAAAACGAGGAGCGGGTGTCTTTTTTATCACTGTATTTGTGAACGAAGACTATATTTAGAAAATTTTCAATGTCATTTTCATTTCATCTTGCATGTTATATGCCTGATAAAGCAGCGTTTGTGAGCTCAGCGCTGCTTTGTGTACAGCCGTTACTGGGGAAACCTGTTTCTCCCGCTTTAAAGCATCTGCTGGCAGAGAATGAATGTGCATTTTCAGTAAGTCCGTCTGATTTACGCAGGAACAATATTTTGCTTTTCCTATATCCACAGGCGCTGCGGATAATCCGCGGGTTGGGTAATAAAAATGAATTCGGATTATTTCCACACTGGCGATGACATGACTGCTGCATCATTTACGTCCCCACGCATCATATACATCGTCACTCATCGACGTCATTAAATTGCGATCGGTTTGTGAGATCGGCCAAGTTAGTGAGTACTGATCGAGTCATAAAATGTGATTATCGGCCTGTCATGGACTTTGGAGTACCATGACAATTTTTTTTTTTTTTCAGAATCTGTATTTGATTAGAATAGATGATTGGATGCACATTTGAAGCAAACTTGAGTTTTTGTTAAGCTGTTATATAAATAAAACCTGAGAAAAATACAATAAAATCAATAATGATTAATCTGATAATAATAAAATACTGTGGAAAATATTCCAATTACATAACCTACTAAAGTAATAAAAACAGTAGCACCTAATAACTTTAAACAATATTAGGTAGTACAACTGTTTTCAACATTGACAATGTTAAAAAAAAATGGTTCTTGAGCTGCAAATCATCATATTAGAATTATTTCTGAAGGATCATGTGACACTGAAGAGTGACAACTGAAGTAATGGCTGCTGAAAATTCAGCTTTGCATCACAGGAATAAATTAGATTTTAAAACACATTAAAATATAAAACTATTGAACTTGTACTAATATTTCACAATACTGCTGTTTTCACTATTTTTGATCAAATAAATGCAGCCTTAGAGACGTCAAGAGACTTCTTTAAAAAAAAAAAAATCAAGTAAAATTTAAAATGTATTGACCCCAAACTTACCAGTAGTGTGCTTGGATACAGCACTCTGTGAACAGCCAGCTTCTTTGTCAATGAATGTTTGTGGCTTACCCTCCTTGTGAAGGGTGTCAATGATTGTCTTCTGGACAACTGTCAGATCAGCAGTCTTCCCCATGATTGTGTAGCCTAGTGAACCAAACTGAGAGACCATTTTGAAGGCTCAGGAAACCTCTGCAGGTGTTTTGAGTTGATTAGCTGATTGGCATGTTACCATATTCTAATTTGTTGAGATAGTGAATTGGTGGGTTTTTGTTAAATGTGAGCCAAAATCATCACAGTTAAAAGAACCAAAGACTTAAACTACTTCAGTCTGTGTGCATTGAATTTATTTAATACATGAGTTTCACAATTTGAGTTGAATTACTTAAATAAATGAACTTTTCCACAACATTCTAATTTATTGAGATGCACCTGTACTATCAGTTTTGATTAGAACACAATTGATTTTGGCAGTTGTCTGAAAACTGATTGTTGATTGCTTTAGCTTAAAAATAAGTCTAACCAACAGTCCCTAAATGAAACTGCAAACAAAAATGGTTCAGGTCGACTTTGTTTAATTTACTGGAAATGGTACAATTCAGTAATATGCAAGCATGTGATGACTACCACATTCTGTGCTACTAATCAAACCTAGTGGTGGTCTACATCAAACCCACAGATTTATCTCACTTATCCTTCTCCTACGGTCTTTCATTTACTCAACATTGAAACACATCGAATAAAAAAAAACCTGGTCATATTGTGACCAGTTCATCAAGACAAATTTGTTGAGGGCCCCTGAAACATTAGGAAATCAGGAAGCCCTGCTGCCCAATTACGGGCATCTGGTTCTGGTACTCCAGTGATTACAGCTCCCCTGCTAACTTACACAGGCACCAGAAGACAGACGCATACGCATATACATGAGCAATTTCAAATGACTTATCATTATCATGCTAATGACCACTCATGCATGCCACGTCACAAGCCGCTCTTGGTTTCCTTGACAATACATTCACATTGCCCTGAAAAAAAAAAACTCAAGTTCACTCACTTGCGTGTTTGTCAGCCAGCTGGATGAGGCTCTGTGAGATGTCCCTTCTCCTGTAGAAACAGACCACCTTTGCCTCAACATTGCCGCTTGCAGTCTGAAAGGAGCGACAAACATGGTCACCATGAGGGAACTTCATACAGTATCTGGGGAAAGTTAACCTAACACCTCTGTTAATCAATACTTAAAAAGCTTGAACCTGAGGTTGCAGTCTATTATGTTTAATCAGCGGTGCAGTGTTGAATTTATCAACACCTGCTATGTCGGCACTCCTCTGAGGAGTAATTGGAAAAAAAAAATGACAACAGTAGACAACGTTAAAAGGAGCAAGTGATAATATACACCTGATAAATAAACACAAGATTCAATTTGGTACTGAGTAATTCAACAAGATAAACAAAATATTTATGGCTGTTAATCAATGAAAAATTATAAAACAATTAGCCACATGATATTAGGATTGGGCAGTATGACAATATGTATCATGGCAACAATATGAAATGGATAAGAGATTGTGTTGTATACAATTGAAGTTAAAAGTCTACATACACCTTGCAGAATCTGCAAAATGTTAATTATTTTACCAAAATGAGAGAGATCATACAAAATGCATGTTATTGTTTATTTAGTACTGACCTGAATAAGATATTTCACATAAAAGATGCTTACATATAGTCCACAAGAGAAAATAAGTTTATAAAAATGACCCCGTACAAAAGTTTACATACACTTTTTTTGTGTGTGTTTAGTGATATTTGTTCATGAGTCCCTTGTTTGTCCTGAACAGTTAAACTGACCGCTGTTCTTCAGAAAAATCCTTCAGGTCCCACAAATTCTTTGGTTTTCCAGCATTTTTGTGTATTTTAACCCTTTCCAACAATGACTGTATGATTTTGAGATCCATCTTTTCACACCGAGGACAACTGAGGGACTCATATGCAAACTTTTGGGGATTTGAAATGAAGATGCGTACATTTTTCTTATTTTGCCTAAATATCATATTTTTTCATTTAGTACTGCCCTTCAGAAGATACAAAAGATATTTGCATGTTTCCCAGAAGACAAAAGTTACATTTACTCTTAATGCATCTTTGTTTCCTTCTGGAACACACACTATTTATTCACTCATACACTTATTTATCTAACACACATACTCAGTCTACACCTCAAATTTGCACATAATATACAGTACCTGTACATACAAAAACTGTCTATTGTAATATATCTGCACATACAACTGTCAATTTATATATTTTTATTCCTTATTTACTTGTTCTATTTTTTATTATCTGTGTTTTTTGTTCTGTCACTGTCATTCTGTTACACTGTGGAAGCTTCTGTCACGAAAACAAATTCCTCGTATGCGTAAACATACCTGGCAATAATAAAGCTCATTCTGAACGCTACTGTAAAATAGACCAAATGTACCTGAAAAATGTAAGTTTTTTTCTTATTGCATTTGTATTATTGTTTGTCATGTCCATCTTAGATCTTATTTATAATAACAAAGGAAAATTATATAAAATATACATACATATCACCCACCCCAACAAGACATGCATGTTAAATTAATTAAATCTACTTTCAATTAATCACATAAATCAATATTTGCTAGGAAAATCCCCATATGAAGATAATTTGATAATTTTACTACATTAAAATGTTAAACTGACAGCTCTGAACCAAGTATAATAAAATTCACCACACATACAACATAGCCAGCATGTATTTTGTACATTTACTGTACATTTGATTCTACTTATTTTCTTTAAGTACACAATCATTCAGTATCCCAGAAGGCTTCTTTCTACTATTGTAAAGGACTACAGACTACAGGGGGGGGGGGGGGGAAAAAT